TAGTAAAAATTTGGAAGTCTGAAAGAGGGCCTGTCACTAGTGGACAAAATAATTTGTAGTAAACTTCTAAAGAGAATACTACAAATGACAATATCTTTTTAAAAATTTATTGATTTGAGAGAGAGAGAGAGAGACAGGGAGAAACATCGATTTGTTGTTCCACTTATTTATTATGCATTCATTGTTTGATTCTTGTATGTGCCCTGACCATGGACCTAAACCACAACCTTAGCTTATCAAGACCACACTCTAACCAACTGAACTACCCAGCCAAGACATAAAACACTAAATCTTAAAAGACAGGCAAAACGTGCCCTAACCAGTTTGGCTCAGTGGATAGAGCATAGGCCTGCGGACTCAAGGGTCCCAGGTTCGATTCTGGTCAAGGGCATGTACCTTGGTTGCGGGCACATACCCAATGGGTGTGAAGTAGGCAGCTGATCGATGTTTCTCTCTCATTGATGTTTCTAGCTCTCTATCCCTCTCCCTTCCTCTCTGTAAAAAAATCAATAAAATATATTAAAAAAAAAAAAAGACAGGCAAAACTTGTCAAAAATGTAGCGCTAAAGGAAAAGAGGCCTAACCGGTTTGGCTCAGTACATAGAGCGTTGGCCTGGGGACTGAAGGGTCCCAGGTTTGATTCCGGTCAAGGGCATGTACCTTGGTTGCGGGCACATCCCCAGTAGAAGGTGTACAGGAGGCAGCTGATCAATGTTTCTCTCTCATCGATGTTTCTAACTCTCTATCCCTCTTCCTTCCTCTCTGTAAAAAATCAATAAATATATTAAAAAAAGAAAAAAAAAGAGGAAATAGCAGGTTCACCTTAAATTTTTTCCCCAAAAAACTGAAAGGTACAGTGAATTGCCAACCGTCTGCACTTTAACTGGCCTCTGCCCCAAAAGGGAGACCGCACCATTCCTGGAGGTCCTGCGATATCAGGCTGGTGTGTGGATTGGATGGAGCAAGTCTTTTTTCAATCTCCCTGTGCCAAAAATCTACTTGCTAAAGTACCCTCTGGGAGATAACTTATCAGATGTTAAATGGTAAGCACAGCCCTAGCTGGTCTGGCTCAGTGGATAGAGCGTTGGCCTGCAGGCGAAAGAGTCCTGGGTTCAATTCCGGACAAGCACACATGTCCAGGTTGCAGAAGGATCAAGCCTGCAGGAGGCAGCCAATTAATGATTCTCTGTCATCATTGATGTTTCTCTCTCTCCCTCTCCCTTCCTCTCTGAAGTCAATAAAAATATATATTTAAAATAAATAAATAAAAATCAACAGTAAGAACAGACATCTCTCTTGATCTTAGGCCAAAAAACAAAGAAACGACCTACAATTAAAGATTCCTAGCAGGACTTGCTTCCATAAATTTCACTCAAGGTTACAAAAGCAGCCTGAGACCTAGCCAGTTTGGCTCAGTGGGTAGAACGTCGGCCTGCGGACTGAAAGGTCCCAGGATGATTCCGGTCAAGGGCACATGCCCAGGTTGGGAGCTCAATTCCCAGTAGGGGTTGGGCAGGAGGCAGCCGATCCATGATTCTCTCTCATCATTAATGTTTCTATCTCTCTCTCCCTTCCTCTATATCAATAAAAATATATTGAAAACAAACAAAAACAAAAGCAGCCTGAAAGCTGTTCCTTATATAAAATTCTGCATTTTCATTTCTCCCCCACTCCAGTTTAATCCTTCCCTAGGAGAGCTCCCCAGTGGCACATTCCTCGACAGTTCAGGAAATAAGGAAATTCTGGTCTCAAATTGAATTTTTGCCGTAGCGGTGAATGTCCTACTCCCGGCTCCCAGCAGAGCACTGCGCATGTGCGTATCCCTACTCCCCGCAGTGCTTCTTGCCGCCAGGAGGGGGCAAAGGATGCCGAGAAAAACGCCTGGAAGCAGCTTGCATCCTCCAGGAGCGATTTCCAACCTTTTCCATCTCATGGCACACGTAACCTAATTGCTAAAATCCTGCGGCACACCAAAAAATATATATTTTTGCTGATCTGACAAAAAAATACGTATAATTTTGATTCATTTACACTAGACGGCTATTGTCATTTTTTTTAAATGTGTTTTTATTGATTTCAGAGAGAGGGAGATAGAAACATCAATGATGAGAATCATTGATCAGCTGCTTCCTGCGTGCCCCCGGAACTGGGAATCCAGGCATGTGTCCTAACCTAGAATCAAACCGTCACCTTCTGATTCATGGGTCGGTGCTCAACTACTGAGCCACACCAGCCGGGCTTGGCATATTACTCATTTGTTTATTTCTCTGTGTCTACCCACCAAAATATAAACTCCAAGGGCACATAAAGGTACTGTCTGCTTTGTTCCCTGTTTTATCTCCTGGACTTAGTAGGTGCTCAACAAATACTGGTAGAATAAATATTAAATGAAAGTCACCTATAATCTCCAACTGCCAAGAACACTGGTTTTCGTTGGCACTTATTCCCTTCACCCCCTGTAGAGCTTACAAAAAAAGCATCCCGTGTTTGACACTCCCCCTTTACGTTCCCCCTTTTCTAGTGGATTCTATGTCACTACACAAGAGGCTGCAAACTCAGTCCTAACCACCTTTGGCCCATAGACATATTTTGATTGGCTCACAGAATATGCTTTAAAAAAAATGGACGTTGTCCCTAGCCAGTTTGGCTCAGTGGATAGAGCATTGGTCCTCGAACTGAAAGGTCCCAGGTTCGATTCCAGTCAAGGGCACAAGCCCGCATGGTGGGCTCGATTCCCAGTGGGGGACTTGCAGGAGGCAGCTGAGATCAATGATTCTCTCTCATCATTGATGTTTCTCTCTCCCTCTTCCTTCCTCTCTGAAATCAATAAAAATATTTTTTTTTAAAAAAAGAAACACTTTTTAAATGGAAGTTAGAAATCAACACTTAAAATAGGCAAATATACAATGTTGGATCTCTCGAACCTCTTGGTCATATTTTTTTGGAGACCACTCAAGCAGGGCAGCAATTAGCTGGAGCTAAGAAAGGGCTGCTAAGCTCTCCAGGATCCCCACCCAGTTCATGTCGCTCATCTGCATTCCTGACATTCCTGTAGGTGTGAGTTGGGGGGAGACCCTGACTTATACCCTCTCCTTTGCGTTTCCACTGCCATTTCACTTGTTCGTACAGAATCCACTTACCCACAGCCTAAACTACTGAGACAATCTCATTAATGTCCTTGCCTCCATCTTATTCCTCAATTTGTCATCACCACCTGCTCAAAAACTTCCATGGGCTTTTTTCTTCTTCTTCTTACTATCTATAGTTCAACGATTTGGCTTTGCAATCCAGGCCCTCCTCACCTGGCTTTCCCCGGAAAATCTTCCCCAGTTTTATATTCTACAATTCCCTCCCGCCCACATTTCATGAATTCTATCCATACACTTCATTCCCTTTTCCAGCTCCTCCAAGTCTGTGTTCAAACTGTTTCTTTCATTTCCTCCCGGGTCGGTCTATCTACCCTTCAAGATTCAGACACTCCATAGGGCATTTCCAATCTCCATTCCCACATACAACCTCCCGAGTCCTGTCTGCCTACCCTGGGACTTCTGGATTTCCCATACATTTCCTGCTCCATGGTCTTGAACAAAGCACTTCATGGTTATTGAGCAAATGAATTCATTCGCCCATAATAACTTTGCTCAAACTGGAATTCTCCCAATATTCTGTACACTGTCACCTGTTATATCATCCTGGGACACATGGGGACCACACTGCCCCTAAAGAAGTGAAAATGGGTTCTGGGTAGAGGAAGGGGAGGAGGAAAATCTCAGATCCTGAAAAGGTTTCTGGCCCTCCAAAAGGCCACAGCACAAGGGCAGATACAGTGTGTCAGTGGTATTACAGATCCATGGTATATACATATATATATATATGTATGTATTTAAAAGAAATTTTCATGGGGAGGGGGGGAATTAGAGGGGGAAATGTCTTTTTAAGGCGCCTGTGGAGAGAGAATAATGAGGGAAGCTTGAGAAGCAGTACCCGATCGTTCCATTTGTTTCCTGGGTATCTGCTTGGTCCCCTGCTACCTGGAGGACAGTTTGCGATGATGGCAGTCCCGCATGGATGTCCAGGGCAGGTCTGCAATCAGGCGGCCTGGACTGGCACCTTGGCGCTCTATTTCTTAGCGGGATAACAGCATGCAAGTCCGCTAACCGCTCTGGGTCTCGGTCCCCATCTATAACCTTATCTCAGTCCTTCCCCGGGGGCTGGATAGGAAGTGAGGTCGTGCAGCAGAGCACATGCCAAGAGCTTTTGCATGTTTATAAAACGCGCACGGACGGTCGGTGTTCGCGGCAGGTCTCAGTGACGGGTCTCCAGGTGGCGGGAACCACCCGGCCACCCGGCGGGAGCTGCAGGGGCCCCTCCCCGGTAACAGGGGGTCCCGGGGACCTGGGAGGACTCCTCAACTCATGCAGTGTGCTTGAAACGTGCTCCCAACGCGAGCCGAGCCACAAGTCAAGATCCTAGCAGAACCGGGCCGGGCAGGAAAGCCCAGACCCTGCCCGCAGACTCGCCCGGATTCACTCCCGAAACGGCGCCATGCAGGGACCTGCAGTACCTGAGTCGCCTCCCGCGCCGGCACCCTGCGCACCAGGCCCGGCCGAGGGCTCCGGAGGTTCGGGATCCATGGAGGTGGGCCCTGCACACGGGTTTAGGGTCTGGGGGTGGGGAGGGGAGCTCAGAGGAGGGATTGGGGGTAGGCGGCTGACCCGGACG